CGGCCTCGACTCGGCAGAAAGCAGACCCCCCCGAATCGCTGCCGAGCTCCCCGACACCCACCCATGGCCGCCCCCCTCCCTGCTTCTGTCCCCACCTTGGTCCCGAACGAGCTGGGACGAGCATCCCCCCAGCCCGGCCACCTTTCCGCCACCGGAAAAGCAGATTTAATGCCTTGAAGGTTCAATTTTATATCAAACGGGGAATAAAACCAGCCCCCAGGCTGGCGGGGAGGCTCCGGCCCCCCGCGGGCCATCGCGCCCGGGAAATCCCAGCACGGTGGAGCTACCCGGGAGGTGACGGCCCCGGGGACAGGCTGTGGTTTGGCATGGGGAGGTGGCACCGAAAGCAGTGACTTACCCACTGCCTTGTGAGCCGAGCTTTGCACTGGCTTCATGCCCGCCAGACGGCAATCGGGGGGGACGGGGACATTAGGAGGCACCGGGGACTGCGGCTGAGACACCTCGATGGGTTGAAAGGAGCAAACCCTGCCCGAGGCCGGTCGGCAGTGAGCAGAGGTGGGGATTATTTTTTTTTCCATGAAAATACAAGCTGGGAAAGGCCGGGGGAGGGATGAAATCGGTGGAAACGGGTTTGGGATTTTGGTAGGGGACAGAGCCGGAGCCACCGTTGGTTCCAGGCTGGGGCGGGGGGGGGGTGTCTGGCTGCTCAAGCTAGGTTTGACTCCAAATGGTTGAAGACAGACTTACAGGTAAGGAGTTAGATAGTTACATTGCATCGTGACCTTTCAGGTGCAGATCAAGGATGATTTTAGCTGACAAACAGAAGACTGCAGCATTGCTTTTGAGATAGACATATAGGTTTTTTTGAGTATGCTGGTTTAAAACTGATCTTGAAGAAACACTAACTCATTTTGAGCTGCAAATAGATCTGTATTGTCAGTCCAGTCCCTTCTGCGTAGAAACAAGCTGGACTACGTATGTATGTTATCTTTGCAGAGTGTCAAAGCACATAGCTGAGTATATAGTATTACTGCTAGAACTATAAATTCTTCATTTAGGCTGTTGGTAAACTTCTTGCCTGCCTATGAGCTAGCAGCTTTAATGCACAAGAGAACTGAAGCGAAAGGCGATGGAAATCTCATGTATATTTTGAAGAATTCAGATTAGCTTTTACTGTAGTTGTTTGTATAACAGGTGTAGGCTTCCTTTAAATTTTGTCCTTTTTGAAGGGAGTTAACTTTTATGTCAAAGATATGTGGTTGAAATGGAACTGGTCTTTGTTGAAATGTGCTGGTGTGTGGTGAAAGTTTTCTTTTGTCTTAGAAGATGATTTGTTTATTTATCAAAGTTGCATGATACAGGGATGAGGATGCTATCGTGTTTTCCCAATTCAGGTTTGAAAATTAAGTGGAAAATACAGAGAAGTAGAGTGGTTTGGGTCAGTTACGCTTGTTTCAGATGAAATGGGTAACTAGAGTAAGTCCTTGTCTTGTCCATCGTCTTCCTTCCCCCAGATGTTTCATATAGATACCTTACTTTGAATAACCTTTCCAAGTTCCTGCTCAAAACTCTGAAATTCTTGTTGAGATGGGCCAGCCAGTGTTATTCCTTTGTTACAGATTAATAATAAAATAATAATAATAATAAATGAAAAGTGGTGGTTTGGGCCAAGGGAATATTTTGTTCAACCTGAATCAGCTATTCTTGGGGTGAAAGGGGTGGAAACAGAGGGAAATTCAGGTAGCGCCGGTGAGCTGGCGGCCCCGGCAGCGCAGGGGTTGAACCCCGCTCAGGGTGACGCTGGGTTTCAGGATGCCCTCTGATGGGTGGCCCCCGGGGATGGGGGGACAGGGTGCCAGGAGAGGGGGAGTCACTCCCAATTCTCCTTTTCGAGGGTGCTGTCCCCTTGCTGCCCCAGCCCCGGGTTTCCTCTTGCTCGGGCTCGGG